TTTATCGTTTATGTATCAGTTTCATTTTTTATGGATGAAACTGATTTCACTACAGTGTTAAAATTGTTAGTTTTAAGCGTCAGGTTTATTCTAAATGAGTTTGTTAATAAAACTGATTACATTTAAGATATCAATATTTGCATATATGTAGGTACACTTACAGCAACCAGTAACAACGTTTTTTCTCCTGCGAGATAATGTTAACATATTGATGTATTAGTAGCTCATGTGATAATCGGTTGCTCGTCAAGTTATGCTGGCCAACGAAATAGCTATCCCACCTGTGGATATGAATTCTTCTCTTGGATAAGGCTTGATTTTGTTTTTTTAAGCCACGAGAAGACACGAAATGCAACGAAAAGATTCTCATGCGTAATCCCGATTGATCTCCAGACCAATCCACCATCTGCATGAGAAGACAACAGCGTGGATTGTATAGTGTTTGCGGCATTGACGGAGGAAGATGAAATCCTCAGATACCATACCATTTTTCGATGTACTTCCTACCCAAACTAGAATGATAATGGGAAAATTTGTCTTATCTCATACCTACAGGTCTATGGTAGAAAAGAGATGTTTTCATCTTTCGATCAAGATGATTCTGTGCAACTGAACAGGAGATTAGTTAGGAGAAAAATGAACAACTCTTGATAAAGAAATCTTTTTTTCTTTCATTTACACGCCTCTTCTGCATACAGCAAGAAGTTTGAAATTTCTGCTACTCAAATATTTCTTTTTGTTATAATTAAAACTTAAAGTATTTATGTTCAAATTTAATAATGTTTTCTGCAAGGTAACAAGACGAACATTTTTTTCTTGATCTTAACATGCCAACGACTTCTGGAAGTTAGTTTCTTGTGTTTTAACATAACAATCTATCAGCCCGAAACCGTTTTTCTAACAGTTTTGTTTACAGTTAAACAGTTTTCTTGAACATATGGATAAAACCTGGAAACTCCATTTTTGCCAATTTGTTTTGCCACAAATAGAATCTATAGGGAGACTGTTGGTTATGTAACCATTTTATCTTTGTCCTGAGAAAAATTGAAAAAAAAATAGGAAATCTAGAAATTCAATCTAAGATGTTCTGGCATAGCGGTCAAATTCGGTACTAAGATTAAATTCCTTGATTTCAACTTTTTCAAGAAAAGAAGAAGAGTTGATTGCTGGCTATGCAATTATTTATTTTTTTCATTGAGGCAGAGATAAAATGTGATTTCACACTTTCGAACAAAATGATTTTGGGAACAAGATGAAAAAAACCTCTTGGAGTTCTTACGCAGACCTTTTTTTTCAAGTTTAGGAACATCTAAAAACTTTTTTTTAAAGTCTGTGTTAACTGAAAGATTTTTATATTCATTTATTTGGCATATTACCTTGAGTGCAGGTCTTGAAGATCATCTAAAATAAAAGAAATATAATTCTGATTCTATAAAAATTACAATGACTGCAAATTTCAACCTGAGGCTGATTTTTCAATTACAACAATCGGATATTTCAAATTAACGACTGATTTAGAAATAACACTATATTGAGCGATGAAAAGGAAACATGGCATGGCGACTTTGAAGATGGACAAAATAGATGTTAATTTGTTTTGATTTTGGTAGCTTAATTTTGAATGATAGTGCTTTATGAAATGTTCGTTTTCCGCACTGTCTTCTATAAGACCATTATTTCTAATTTTAAACTATAAATAGTACTTATATTCTCAAGACGACAAATGCTATATTAATTAATTTTAGAAATTTTATCTGTGCTCAAAATTATTTTGTTTAGCTCGTAGTTTCACGTTTTAGTAAAAATGTAGAGAGAATCAACGGAGAGAACAAACCTATGTTGCTTGAATTTAGGTAAAGAGGATTAGCTTTGAATTTAAAAGACTTCTGTCTTTCGTCGTTCGTAAGAATGGATGGTAAATGTTTAAAGGCATCATCTGGAATGTTATGATACTCCTAATATATGGTTGTCGTCCATAACTTGCAATCCTGCAATTAAAAAATACTGAAATAAATTTTTGGAACTCTGAAATAGGTGCCTGAATTTCTTTGGCAAGATTTTTTACGCTTTAAAAATACAGGATACAGTAATTTTTTATCCTCTATTTCAAGGAAACGCATAATATTTTGGCAATAGCTTGGTTTCGTTCCCTTTCCAAACCTCTTGACACATCTCGGCTTCTGGTTTAGACTTCATACTGACATTTTCACATTGGCTGAAACCCAACTGCGTGTCTTCCTTCGCCTGCAAGAGGCATAAGGAATGGCAAAGGTTATGAAATAGCAAAAGAAAATATTGTTTTTTTTAGCAGCGACGCATGTTGACGTATTATTTGTGGTGTGACGATGTTGCTGTAGAGACACGCCACAGCTGACTTCGCAGGAAATTTTAGGAAGTGCTTGCTGTTTCACACAGGACATGTATGCAATTTATCGGTTTTGTTGTAACAGTAAAACTAAATACAGGGTTCAAAATTAGGTTAATTTTAACCAATTGCTTGCATCTATGTCGCACGGAATGCCATGAAACTTATTGGATTTATTTGTAAAAAAATATTTATGTAATTTTTTATGCTGTATTTGCTCGCATATTTTCCTCCCCTTTTCCCGCTATAACTTTAGCACAGAAATTGGCAGAGAGAAAATATGCAGTGTTTTTTCCCTGAAGAAACAGCTTAAATGGTAAACATAGCACATAAAATGCACTCATAAAGACTCACTAATATTATATTATTTAAGAAGTTGTTAAATAAGCGAGTTTCGAGGGATGGTATAAATACGTTTTGTAAATTTTAAAAATCTGGAATTAGTTTTTAGCTTTTGACATATTATTTTTTATTTTATTGCAAAATCACATTCTCTACCTCAAATTAATAAATCAAAATCTTTTACCGCTCATTTTTATTCCCGATAACTCTGTCCATTTGCTTTGCTAAATGTATAAGCAAAATGCGCTACTTGGCTCCTAAAAGCAGAGGTAAGATACTACTTCGCAATAATATTGTGCAAACTTGGGGCCGCCAAACCCTATAAAGGGTCTGATTTTTTTCGAGTAATTCCTCTTTTGCTTCGGTGCATCATATACGCAAGGCAGTAATTATATCCCAGCTCAAAATTTAATGACTCTTTCTACAAATGTAAAATCATTTTCTTGAATGTTCATGAATATCAACAAATTCACCGAATTCAGATTTCTATTTTTATTATAACTGTAGGATAAATGTTCATATTTAAGTAATTTTAGTACAGCTTTTATTAAAGTTTAAAAGAAAAATATGATGTAAAATAATGCTACTTCAAAACTAAGGCCAAAAATTGGTACTTACGTATTAGCCGGCTGACTGTTAAACTGTCGCCAAGCAGCGCGACTTATCGCCAGTTTTGGATAAGCGGGACGTAACAACGCATTCATGACATCTGAGCTTTCTTTTGATGTAAACCAGATTGGTTCTCGATGAGCCCCGTCATAATTGTGTATATTAACTGTTGTATTTTTTCTTGCATTTCGAAAATGTGATTAAAATTTGGGATCTGCTTTCTAAAGAACAGAAAGAAACTAATTAGTTTCAAAGTTTTGTAATCTTACAACCAAAACCGTGTGTATTAATGAGCACAGTATGGTCAGTTGAAGGTGGTGGATGAAATATTAAGTCTATAACTACTGAAAATTTATATTCGTAGAGCTTCCAGTGAAATCGAAAGGCCTAACGAAATAGTAGAAATCGATAAATATCTTTTTACGAAGCGCAAAAGCAAAGCTGGTCCAATTCTGATTGTTTATTAAATAAAGATATGCCATTTCCTTCATAATTCCGCAGCAGGGTTTGGCGCAACAGTGGCTAGATAGCTGTCAACATTCATGCTTCGACGGTAGAAGTAGAAACTAGGCCAATATATCTGTAGTACCTCATGTGATTAAGGTATTGCTGAACCTATAATTCACTGCTTGCTGTTCTGTAAAAGACAGGTCAAATTTTGTCATTCATTTCAAAAAGTCAGCAATAATGGTTAAATATATGTTCATTAAAACAAATTGTGGCTTATCGAGAAAGCGCAGATGGTACAGGAGCGTTAAGTCGTGCTTATCCATAAATGGCATTAAACAACGCTTCTTGGCGACAATTTTACATTCGCCGGGACAATAAGTAAGTAAAAATTTATTAGCGAGCAGAAATCTTAGTTTATATATGAACGTTTTCATGTAATAAAAAATTTTCATGTGCACAAAAGTCCGAAGTGTTAATATGCAACTTCAGCCTCAAAATTTAATGATTTATTTAGCCAATTTCCCATTTTTTTCAGAGATAAAATTACTACTCTCATCAAATGAAATATTTATATTAAGATGAAACACTGACATACGTTTTTACAAAATATCACGCACAAACATCAACAGTCTTTTGTGTACCCTCTAAACTATAAAATATACTTTTGAAACACATCGTGAAAGCGCATACTTTAATTTAGAATACTATTTGACTAAACTATCGAATTAAAATACTTGGTTCTAAATTAAAGAATAACAACAGAAATTTTAATCAAGAACTGATCATAAATTTTAATGTCATGTTATATAGTAGCTTCCTTTAATTATTGGTGTGTGGAATAAAGAGTTTTACAGATAAATTAACGTTTAACTTTTTGAAGGTAAAAATGATTCTCATTCCTGGACTGTCATCGTAAACAAACTGCCCTTTTATTTATAATGACCAAATATTCTGAAATTTTAGCAAAACTAAGTGCACAACCAATTTGTTTCACGTCTCCTTGTTTGGTTTTTAAGCGAAATACGGTAATGTTATCTAAAGTGAAAAGAAAGTATGTTTGGAAAACTTAAAAAAGCTCCACGAGAATCACTCAGAAATATTAAGACAAGGAAGTATTAAAATCGTGAAAACAAAGTTTATTTTCTTGACTATTACGAGGATAATTGTTGCTTTTTAAATCGTAAAGTGAGTTTGAGTGATAAATATATGACCTGCTTATTTTCTTTTAATTTAGACCTCTCAGAATGCCAGTTGATGTCATTCCCTGAAGCCGTATACCACTTGATGCGGAATACAGTGTTGCAGACATGCGACTTATCATCCAATGTGTTTAGAAAGATCCCTCCTCAACTGCCCATCAAATTTGAAAGGATTACAGGTGAGAATTTCATATTCATTTGAGTACTTTTACAAGTATTTTACAGAGACTGAAACACGTACTTAAATTCTGTCCCATTCAGACTAAAATAAGATTAGATTTTGTTTTCTGGATTTTTAAAATTTTCCAACTGAACTTGAAATGAGAAAGTCAAGCAATGTTTGTGCTACAGGATGGTTTAGACGTTGCCGCCCAGACAGTATAGTCAAACAATTAGGGGAGCCGACTGCGGTACCGAAGGGCCCGAGTTCGAATTTCGGAGATGGCATGGATGTAAATTATTTGCCCTCCTTATAGGAGGTAATGGTGGCAGGTTGTTAAGTGTCTCCAGAATAAAATGACTGCCACTTCTGGCCTTAAGAGTGGCCAATGCTGAAGTGGCAAGTACCTGCCGTTTGATATAAAAGAAAAAAGATTTAGACTTAACCAGTTAGTATTTTATTAAATTTGCCGTAACAGAAACATAAAGGAAAATGGTAATATCGTTCTTAAGTGAAACAAATTTTTAATACCAGATATTTTAAAATATTGTGATTTCTGAATATTTCGCATTTACATGTAGAATATAAAGGCTAAAAAGGAAACATTAAGCCAGTGTCAAATATTTATGATCTAAAATTTATCAATAGTTCAGGAATTTAATAGTTAATGCATCTGAGCTGCCTAAAAACCTGCTTAATCTTTAATTCTTTTTATCTGATTGTTCATCTCGATAGCTGCATGCTTAAATTTCTAGCAAACTAAAAATATTCAAAAATCGGTTTTGCTTTCATCTTAATACTTCTTTATCATATTTTAATCCATAATATAATGACCTTGTGTTAATTTTGTTGTTAATTCCATTCGAAATATAGAGGGGTTGAGATGCGCTTTTGCAGATTTGGTCGAAAATGCGATTAGCTCAGTATAAAACGTAGTGAATCTACATACGAAAGCCTGCTTCTCAGCTTATACCATCTTTCAGGCAGAGCTTCTTGCATTAAAAGCAGCCATCAATTTGGCAAAATATCAATTAGGAATAAAGGTCAACATATATAGCGACTCTGCCTCAAGTTTGGAGTCCATCCGATGGCACAAGACAAGGAGTAATTTGGTGCAAGATATTCAGAAAATTTCTCTAAGTATCCCACGAGATGACAGACCTATCCTGATCTGGATTCCAGCTCATGTGGGTATCACTGGGAATGAAGCGGTGGACGTGCTTGCGAAATCTGCAGAAAATGATTGGAAAACGCAGTAAGTGTTCCGCAGTCCTATTTTAAAAAAATCACGCTCAATAGCCTTTTACAAGAATGGCAGAAAAGATGGGAAAAGGAAAGAACAGGGAGGAGAACTTTATGAAAGTTACATGCTGAGTTAATACATACGGCGGAAGACAAACTCAATTCTACACTGGCCATGGTCTCTTCCCACATTATCTTAAAAGATTCGGCAAACGAGCATCAGAATTGTGTGAATGTGGTGCGGTAGGTGATGCAGGTCACGTCCTCTGCAACTGCCCCCACAAACCGATGACTGCATTTAAAAATGCCAAGCAGTGAATACTTGCCGCAATGGGCGGAGAATACCTGTGGCAACAAGCAAACGAAAACTAAAATAGAGGAGGTAATCAAGCTATGCTCAGCAAGGTTATAAGAAATTCTCTCTCTCCCTTGAGAATTGTATCTTCGCAGCACAATTTTAATAGCAATTCAAAATACTTTAACAACTGAAAATCAACACTAGAAAAATAGCTCACCCCGTAGAATAGTAACAGGACTGTAAGAGCAAAACTATTGTAATGTAAGCATATTACTATCCAGTTTGTATGTACTTGATAAAAATAATATTGTAAAGCAATTTAAATGATATTGAAAATCCAGTCAATGTGTAAATGAATTACAAGTTTTACTTTGATTATCTCAGTAAAAGTATTGTAAATATGAATTCAGATAATATTTAAATGTACACATAGCTATCATGATTTTATGTAACTATCATATGTAACAAGACAAAAACTTTTACAACAAAGTCAGGTCCGTTGTTATCTCAAGTGGCGCTCACTGCTTCTCAGCTTTCATCCTCTATACATCATATTTTAGTTTGGCATAATTCTTCATAATATATAAGAATATTTTCAGCTGCTTATTCTTACCCTAAACTTCTTTTAAAAATGACACCTAGAAACGTAGCTGTGAAGTGTTGATTATTTTCACAGTGAATAATTAAGTAATATATTACCTTATAGAGCATTTCTTGAAGTAGAATTTCCTTTGAATGCAAGAAGTGCTTTCAAATTTCATCAATGGGAATGTATTGCACGAGATGTTCTCGAAATAAGGTAAATATTTCTTCATATTTTCTGCCTTTTGATCGGAGCATAAGTTACACTTTAATAAGGCAAAGTGAATAAGGCAGACAGCTAACCATTTAATTTCATCTCGGTCTCTGTTTCTGATGCTAAGGTTTCATGGTCGTTTGCAATCACTATTTTTATGTACTGCGATTCATAGAATCTTCTGAATATTACGTAAATACCTATTCAGTACACTGCTTGCAAGAAAGAACTGTACAAGAGGAACTTATAAAAATTTAAGTGGTTGTTTTCGGAATCATGACAAGTAAACTGATATTTTTCTTGTCTTCAGACATAGGCAATGAGTTCCTATAATTACAGTTTGATATCATAATAATTTTCAAGTTTTTTCCTAATCGATACATCATTCTGGAAACATTATTTACCATAAATACAGTTAAAAGCTTAAGCATTAACGTAACATTATAAAAATGATATTAGTTTACACAAGTTATACAAAATATATACAATATATATGTAAAAGGTATATAATTTTATACCAAGTATGCATGATACTTTGTGTCTTTGATCAGAGGCTCTGTAAGGCGCTTCATTGGCTGAGTAACATAACGGGTCAGTATGCGAGTTGAGCAACGATGGTTTAATCGACAGACATTTACCCTTTTTTTATACAACTAAAATATGCGAAGTTACTTTTAAAATCTCTTGATATTTTTTAAGTTATCAACTTAATTTACCTGATGTTAACTTGTATATTATACTTCAGAAACTAAAACTACAATGTTTGTTCCAGAGCTCAACTTGTCTAATAATCGCCTGACCTCGTTGCCAGAGGAACTGAAGGATTTGAAAGAGCTGCAGAAGTTGGACCTCTCCCATAATGACTTCCTCGTGTTTCCTAAAGTAGTTTTCAAAATTCCACACCTGGTCTTTCTCAACCTCAAGAAAAATTTCATTGTCGGTGAGTCAATTTTTTAAATACGGTATTCGAGTGGAAGTTCGAGTATTGCACATTTTGTATTATAACTGTTCTCTCTTGAACGGAGATCATGAAATTTTATTTAATTTCTAAAGTAAAATAAAATGATAAAATAATAAATGAAAAAAAACCAAGCAATTTGTTCAATCTTTAGTTTGAATTAATAGAAATGGATATTAAAATTTAATAATTTCATTCACTGGGATATTTTATGTTTGAAATGATAAATGAAATGCAAATCTATTTCACACATTTTTGTTTCTAAAATATTTTCTATTAAAAATTTAGGAGAATTTGGGCTTTATTTTTCTGAAATTTTCAGTTTCCACGTACTGGATTTGTTGACAATGGTTAATTGTTTAAACTGGTGTCTTAACTGTTGAGAGTAACAGAGTGGTCCGGAGGCTAACCTTTTATAAAATATTGCCCATTAAGAAAAATGCTTTGTGGCCAAAAAGGGGAAAGCGTGGAGTTTATATCATCAAAAGACATGTTTTTCTCACAATTTTTAGTTTTAAATTAATGTAATGTTTCGTTATTGCATAAACATGAGTGCATAAACATAATTTGAGTTTATACGTCAATGCATAAACATGAGTGCCTATCCGACTTACCTTAGTTATGTTGATAAACCTGAGCGCAGACAGAAAACTGAGGATCACCCAGTCTCTTTGCAGTGTTTGCAAACAGTTGAATTTACTGCATATTCTTGCAATACTATAATATATAATATATACTTGCAATACTATAATATATCAGAGATGTATAGATTAACCACAAGTGGCATTCAGTACAGCTCAAACTGGCCAGATTCCATCCTCTAGGTATGAGTATGTAGTATTTTCTTCCAGACCGTGAAAGTTGGTGGAGATTTGGCGAAAGTTTGATGAAGGAAATGACTCCATTTTTATTTAATCACATTTCCTTCTTTATTTTGTTAGATAATCAAGATATATGACTTATGGATATAACATTCCAAAAGATTCAAAATAATTAAGTTGAAGTTTTGATATTATATGAAAAACAAGCTTATTAGAACTTGCATCAGTCACTCTAGAAGACTGCAAATCCCCAGTGGTATTTAGAATAGCTAAAAAAATCCCCTTCTCCAACAAAGTACGAATCTAAATAATGTAAAGCAGTTGCTAGGATCCCGTATTTAAAATGCCAGAGGAAATGTGAGAAATTAACTTGCTACGATTCTTAACAAAACTCGGCTTATCGAGGATTAATTGAAGTAACATGAAAGCAAAGCCCTGAGGACCGTGACATAACGCTTGTGTGCTATTGTCACTAAAACCACTCTGCTCATCGACATTATATGTTTGGTCGGAAATGGTAGACGAAAAAGAAATCATCAGCTGCAAACCTTATGATCAGCCATTTCTCAACAACGAGTGCAAAATGTTGTGCATCACGATTCGAGTATGAGTGTTTGGTTTTATTTTTCATCAATGGAGTTTCATAACAGGATGCCAAAAAGGTCCGTGGCACCCATGATGGTGCACAATGAAATTGGTCGAAGGTCTACAATTGTTGTAGACCTTCGACCAATGAAAGAATGTCGATTGAAATAATTCTGGGTTTTTTTCGGTTACATTGAATAACCGGTTCGCATATGACTAAAATGGCAACAAATAAAACCGTTGGTTATATAACTGGCGATTATAAGTGTAAGATCTAACTCTTTAAGCTATCATGCAACTGTTATGATCTTAGGCCAGGCAACTTTTCGCACAGGCGCCAAGAAATAGCGCACAGAGAAAGTGTTTAAATTTCCCTTTTATTTGATTAAATCTTAACAAAAATGCACATACTTCGTGCTCACAATATCACAGACTACTTGCGCTGGGAACTTAAGAATACTTTAGCAATAACTTTAAGTAGTAAAAGAGTAGTGCTGGACCACTTAAAACTAGCACACTGACTGAGAAACCTACACAGGTTAGAAGGCGTAGTAGTAAATAAGATTAACAACAGTAAGGACAAAATAGCACGCTTTGTTTAACTTTCTCGTTCTCGTTTTAAATACTTTTCTTCGCTTTAACTTAATTTGAATTCAGGCGGGGAGAACTGAGTTTAGGAAAGATTCCAGAAATTAAAATAATTGGTTAGTCAAACTAAAGAAAACGTTACAAAACAACCAAGGTATTTCGACCTGTATTTTAAATACATTTCATGTTTCACTTTGTTAAAAACGATGTGGATGTCTCGTACATTAGTTTCTTGCTCAGTATTTTCACTGGATCATTGAATATTTTCAGATGTGGATGTCTCAAAAGTTCGAACTGCGCCAGCCTTAAAAGAACTGAATCTGGAAGAAAATCCTTTAACAAGGACGGCATACGTACAGTTGAAAGCGTTGATGCCTGGTAGAATTCTCATTCACGTCACAGAACCCAAGCCAGAGGACGACGACGACAGTGATTTTGAAGTCAGTCCACCAAACAGCAGCGTTTAACATTCGGAATTTTTATACTTTATTTCCTAAAGCTCAGGGCTGTGATGTTGAGATTGGTTCATGTTTCTTGCCGCACTAACTGTATGACATGGCACAAGCTAAGTGAAAGTTTTATCGTACTTGATTTGTTAATTTATTTCGTTTTGTTGAAATGTTTCTTCATCAATGTGATTTTTATCAATGACAATTTATAATATAAAATAATCGGTTTTAATAAACTTATTAAAATGATTTTAATCGATCAATCTTTTTATGACTCTCAATGCAAATTTGCCTAAAAGTCAATTTTTTAAAATTATTTTCAATTTGTAGAGTTTTAATTGGACAATTCTTATTTATATTTGTAGAGAGCAATTCGATAATATTTGTTTAAAATCTTAATTTTGTCCATTGTTTGAAGATGATGTTCATGGTTTGTGTCAAAGAAGCAATTGTTGATTATGTAAAAGATGCTGATTTCTCAAGCAAGGAAGCACTAAGTTTTTAGATGATGGAATGCTTGTAGGAAATACCTTGTGATTTGGGTGCTATTGTATATATGAATGATGTATATTTGTTATTTATTGTGAGGCTTGATGCTGCAAATAAATCCTGCTATTTTGATTTGCGCTCTCAGAAAACAGCTTACTTGCTGAAATTTGTACATATTTATTGTATTTTTTGTACTAAGTTACTTGATTTTTGTTGTTATTTTTTACTAACTTTTTTTAAATCTGTGTGATAGTGTGTAGTAGCAATGCAATACTATTCCGAAATTGTATTTTACTGAATTTGGAAACGCGCCCTTTTAGCAATGAATAATCGCACATTTTGTGTAGTTTTCTTAATTAAAAGTGTATGCATCATAGTTTTTAATGAAAGCGGAATATTAGGTAAATTGTTAAAAATCACTAGCTCATTTCATCGGTGTAACAAATTTAATTATATATTACTAAATTGATCAGGAATTCCTTTTTTTAATAAGAAGTACTTTTTCTTGTTAATTTGAATAAAGCATGAAATTTTTGCCATTATGTATAACCATTCTTATATTGCTATTACATTAATTTATTTGCACAAAATAAATCATGCTTTAATTTTATAAGTGACAAATAAAAATATTTTTCTAATTTATTTTAATCCGGTGCTTATACATAGGTAAAATTGTGTATTTACATATAGGATCTCCTAACTTCGAAAATATTGCGCTATGTACCGTTCCAAAGAAGAAGGTTCCAAATTTTAATTGTTTTCAAAATGCAAGAGAAAAATGGAAAAATTAACTTTCTACGATCCTTAACGAAAAAACTCATTTATAAAGAATTAATTGGAGTAACTTCAAAACGAAGCACTGATGATCGTAACATGGCGCTTCATCCATCATTGTCGCCAAATCCTTGCGATTATCCATTATTGTCGCTGTACGCATGATGCTAAATCATAATCTGTATATGAGTTACGATAATAAGGAAATTAGCATTAATTGCAGGTTATCAAAATTGTAATTCTACAAATTAGTCTCCCAATACAATTAGACAAAAATTATTTCTATCGATTTTTCAGTTTTGCAGAAGTAGATCTTTGTTTAATTTAAACACTTGCCGATCATGCGCAAAATCCAATCAATAATGAAATATTTTTCACAAATAATGTAAACATTTTTCTCGCTCATATACGATCCCAAGATTTACAATATTGAATATTAAATGTAACCTTTGATCTTAAAAAGCATGCTGATATTCAAAAGAAGTGCACATGTTATTTATGTAACATTTTTAAATACTTTTTGTGTTCATAAACCACCAACAAACGAGGAGGTCTAAATCAAAATATTTGTATATTTTGAAAGAAATATTGATTGTGTCTGAAGTGCTATCTTTGCAATTCTTAAAGGGCTTGGTTTTTAGTACTTTTATGCATCGCAGTGATGTCATGGAGAAACATGATTTTCTGTATATGTAGACATTTTTTTACAACAGTAATAAATTGATTTGAACTTTTGTTCAAGTTTTGTTCATTCATATTACACAAACCTATCTAGTTCTTAAAACACAAATGGCTACTAATTCAAATAAGCTAACAGAGGATATTCAAATGCACATTATATTTCTATCACTCAGAACAAAATGAAGAGCAGCAACAAAGGGAAAAAAAAGGATTGGATTGAATAATTAAAATAAATTGATAAATTGTCTACTTCAAATGTCTTTGAGGATGGCATCCTTAGTCTTAAAATTTATATTTAGAGACTAAATTAAAGTACAACGTAGCATTAAGCATATCTTGATACCTTTTTTCCCGAAATTTGTAGCACTTCGCTAATCGCAGCTAAAAATGAGAGATCTTCTCATTTAACAAATGCCCATCAGTGGTGAATAGTTGAACACTGACAGTTCAACCTAGTTTTAAATCTCGTCGAATGAGTTTGCTGTATGGCAGTTTCTACGGTTTTCCAGCCATTTTCCTGAGAAAGCCTTCACGAAGTTATTCTCCTTCGCCAGGTAGCTTTCCATTTGATCTGTCTTAACCAAATTAACCTAACCTATGTGGAAGTTTCCACAGCTTTTTTGTTTGAGTAACATCTGGGAAATTTAAAACATATACCATTATACGAAAAAAAGGCGATTTAATTTGATAATTTCGATACATACTATAGTTAATACAAAACATAAAAATTTATCCATTTGAAAACTGCTGCAGAATTCAAAGCAGACAGACAATATTTCTTGTTAAAATATCTATTTCTATACCTCGCTCTTAACATATAAGAAGAACGTCGTCTCTTTGGTTTCCAAATATACATTTCTTGCGACAGAAAACTAAGCATTACCCGTTAGATTTAGCTTCTTAATTTTTACAAATACAATATTTCATACAATATTTGAATTTCATTAGATATCATTACATGATAACTTGTTTAATGTTCCACTGAAGAAATTAAGGAATAAAATACATAACATTGCTCTTGGTAGTCGGGTTTCGATTTATTGTTGGCAGCAACAAAGCTGAGACGAGAAATATATAACTAAGGATTGTATGATACAGTTAAAAATCCATTTGATTTATTTAGTACTAATATTAATTTAGTAGTTTAGTTCTAATGCATTAAAAGTAAGTAATGAATTAGGTTTCAACGCTCATGCTGCTGCTGTTTTTATTATTCGATAAGTTATGAATTTGAAAGTTTTGTTTATGAATATGGAACTGCCTGTGAGGGCTACGTATCTATGGGGAAGATGTTCTGAGGAAACATTTTTAAGGGAACCTGGCTTGAACTAGAGTAATCAGTGGTCTTTTAACCGCTTGGTCATTAGTTGGCCATTTTCTTCGAAAGATGAAAGTATTAGATGTCTTGGCGATCGTGCGTTTTCAATATAAAGTTTTAAAATTATCTTAAATGCACTGTGATGGTGTATAACATGATTACTTTTGTATATTCATTGCGCAAGGCACTGTATTTAATTTACAACACTTTTTATTTATATACAAAACACATCCTCACTCGCATACAACGCCGAAAACAAGCATTTACAGTTTCATTTCTGGCTTACAATATCTTCGCGCGCCAGTTCTGAGTTCGATTACAATTACTCGATACACTACAATTACGTACGCTGATCTCCACATAAAGCCACTTGATGTAGAAATCCTCAGTATAGTACGTAAATTTTATCGAAAATGTGATGAAAATCCTCACGATGTTATTAAAAAAAGGAGATTTCGATTATATGGTCAAACAAACGGTAAAACGGCTTCACATCATCCATCATAATCCCAGAAGATAATATAATATTTTGTATTTAATAGAGATATTTTCAGTATTTCTTTCTTACAATGCGTATGGTTCTCGGCAAAAGATAGCTGAGTGGATGAGTAGACTGAGTTCAGAAGATCTAAGGCTCAATCCTAAAACTTTTTTCCATCTCAAGAATTTTCTTCCGTATAGTAAAATTTTAGGAGTAATTTTTCTAGATTGTTTTATCAACGTTATTGTGTTTTCACAAGCAGATATTCAATATTGTTCACTTTTACTAGTGTCGTTACTCACTTTTCTGTTTGCCAACAGATGGCAGCACAAATTTACTTGTACAGATTAGGTTTTTACCATAGGTTACCATAGGTTTTTTTTTTTCTAATTTTCTGGATTTCAAGAATATTTTTGATGGTCCTAGAAATAATAAAAACTTTATGGGAGTAAAGTTCACCAGTTAACCGCATTCTTTTCTACAGAATGATAATCTACGATCCACGAGAATGAGAAACCATCATGAAGCATGACTACATCGCAAAGACTATCCTTTGATGCCAACTGGTAAAATAAAATGTATATCCTTTTTTACAATAGTTCAGTGGTTTTTTTAACTCTTATTAAGGTATTCGAGAAAAAAAATGATCAAACAATGCTTTTTGAAACGTTATATTCTAATGATTTAAATGTCAGTGTGCTCTGGTGAAGTGAGAATTACAGTTCTGAAAAGGAAAATGTCCAAGTGATGGCAATATCTGAAGAAGATTCGCAGTAAATTAGGCAGTTTATTGCATTGATATTCGTACCTTTTTTATTACTTTCGCAGCTATCCAGTTAAAATCTCAGTCGGCTTAAAACTACTTACTTATTATTTCTTATATCTAACTCTGAATTAAATTCCTTTGACGAAGTCATACGGTAATTTTAATCATGTTTCCGAGTGGATAAATCTTTGACTCTTTTGACTGTGGGATAAGTAGGTTCCAAAAGAGATATCGACCTCTGATGCGATTTGCGATGAAATTTCTAAGGTGATATTGACCGCAATTTCAATACACACAACGAAAACCACGAAAATCTCTTTCAGCCAATTCGTTTAACTTCCGGAAATGAGCGCTTGAGACAGGCTACCAGAGAATTATGATTTTGCTGCACTGTAGTCATGCTGATGTAATTGGTGCAATGAGCTATACAGGCAGAGTCGTAGCTAGGGTTTTCAGCGCCCAGGGACAACTGAAGATTTCGCGCCCCCCTACTGCTTGCCGAGGATGGAAAACATTTAATTCTAAACTGTCGTAACATCAGTTTGGCGCCCCTTGAATTCTGCGCCCGGGGACAGATGCCTCCCTTTCCCCCCCCTCTAGCTACGCCCCTGTATACAGGGTATATTATCACATGCTGATAGTTTTAAATACGGATATCTTCATATATCATAAATACGAAGTATCTCATTAGTTGAGATATCAGAAAGAGGTTTGTATTTAAAGATTTCTCATGTAGAAGAATGTCTTGAAGGTTAGCGTAGATATGATATGAAATTTCAGCCGTTAGCATTACACGTCTTTGATAAGAACTGAAATAAAAATTATAATTATACAATACTTTACTTACTTATTTTCATTCCCTGGTAAATTGCAATATTACTAATAATAAAGCAGTCCATCATGAGCTGCATATCATCTTTTAAAAGTTTTAAATTTGGATATTTTCGCGATATTAATGATATAGCTCCATGGATGGGTGAAAATTTTAACTAAAACGCATAACATATGAAAACAATATGCCGTTTTTGAGAAGAATTTAAATGAAAAACATACTGCAATACGCAAATTTGCTGATTTTATTATATAATTTTTTATAGTTTAACAGTTTTATTAAAAAATACATTTTTAAAATACAAAGTTTGTGGGACATATAACACGTCTTTCCTAATTATAGTATAGAAAAAAACTAAGTTTCTTTCCATCCTTCTAATATTTATTAACTCTTATCCTTCTCGGCCAATTTCTTTAGTTGATTACAGAAGTCGCCTCACCAAATGAAAAGCTAATGTCCTCTATTGTTCGTGGAACGATTACAAATCGTAACAAAAGTAATAATCAATCATTCAGTCAATCAACGTAATTACTTTTACGGTGTGGAAGTATTTCTTTTACCTCAGAATGATGTACCTCCAGGAAGATAATTAATTACAAAAAGTGCAAAACATCAAATTTATTACACGTTTTGGGCAAGAAAATTCTATGTTCATTTGCCAGAAAAGCTCTTTAAACTTGTAACTTGTAGTAAGTAATAGTTCATAAATGATGTATATCTTGTAAATAAATGAAATATTTTTGCGAATTTTATGGTTTCAGAGAAATGGATAAACTTAATGCCATAAACAAATATGCCATAAATGAGTTAAATTATTAAAACATAATGCAACAGTCATTTGTTCCATAATTGTACTTTGTGCATGCAACACTACGTGCATCTATCTATCTAGCTATATCTATACCTATATCTATATATATAAAGACAGAGATTAATTTTCTAGGTATTTATTTTATTTCCGGATGGACTTTCGCAAAGCCTGCATCCTTCTATATTACCTGTTGTGCTAATATTTTCAAAATTTTGCAACATCTTGTACTTTAAAAATCATTGATCTAATTCATTATAACTATGCCAGGTAAACAGCTCTATTACAAATTCCTCTAAACATGGTGCGCGTGGGGTTGTTAAAAACTATCCCATTTAAGCAGCACTTTGGTTGCACCTCCAGCTAACAGTTTAAGCTAGGTTACCCTATCAGCGGCGAAATGTGGCTGTTTCCGTTACCTATTCTGGTTCGAGAGAGGGCTTTCGGCTGGCTGTGTATTTTAAATACTCTCAATACACTAACATTTAGAAACATCCAAGCCTTTTCCCAGGATCAGAACCCAGCCCCAAAAGTATTGCAACCAGCAACGCTAACCACTATACTGATCAGGTCAGTAATTATGTAAAATAAAGAGGTTTATAAAGCTACCTTGAATTATTTATTTTTGATACCTACATAGATCCATATCGGGCACAAAGAGGCGATCATATGAACTAAATATCATATGCATTTACTAGGATGCTAAGAAGCTATAGGTACATGTTTAAAGAATTTTCATCTATTCTAAGAACTCTTCTCAGGCTATTGCAAGAACTAAGATTCCTATTTGCAGCTTCGCAACCACAGCAAAATTCTTAGATTTTGCAAACATATTTACATTACTTTTTCTTGTCTAAAACAAGGCAATAAAAATCCCCTTTGGATAAACCATTTAAACAAAATTAGATACTTCTCATCAGTTTATATTTAGATTTCATAAATTTTTGTATGAAATACATTTATGAATAAAAAGAGTTTTGTTCCTGTTTTTAATAATCGGTTTCTTGTCAGTTTTTGAAACAGTTTCCTTCACCCATCTTAATTTATCCATCTTTAAATTTCTGAACTTTTCCAAAGCAATTTCACCAATAGGTAGTTTCAGATTTTTTAGTAACTGTTATGTGTACAGATGTAATATCCAATAAAATACCATCTATAACTTAAAAATCGTATTGGTAGAAAAAAATGACGTTATTTAAAACTGTATTAAAATTTCTCAGGTCTTAACTTAAATATCTTCTACAGATCACATGTCTTCTAATGGTCGCAATGAACATAGCTGATGAAACTATGTTGAAGATTGTCCAAAATGAATTCCAGAAAGTTACAATTTTAACTTAATTCTTAAGAAAAAAAATCTGAAAACTGTCAGATATTATATTACTCCCAAGTGGACTCCAAATTTTAACTTTCTGGGTGTTACCTTTACTTATTAAATATCATGTTCTTCGCACATTAAACCATAAAATTCAATTCAATAGCAATATCCCGAAATATTTTAAAAAGAGCATAAATTTAAAATTTCCGATACACACTTTCGCGCGCTGGAGATAAAAATGCTTTTATTTTCCCCCCGTACAGTTTTGCCATGGCTTGCTTTAAAATCGTTGAGTTTTTAAATAAAACATTCTTTAAAGTTTTATAAAATATGAAATAGATAATGAAACAAATTTTAAATTTGGGCTTCCCGATGCCCATATTGGAGCGGAGGACTACGTTATTCAAAATTTGATGTCTCCAGGTACCATTGTTTTTTTCATAGTGCGATAAATGTACATACACTCATGCAGATGCTACGTTATTTAGTTTCTCTAAATATAATGCAGGGCTCTAGTAACAGGTGGCAATAATTTGAACATGAAAACCTTTTTATGGTGAACCAACGCAAAATGTTAAATCAAAATTTATAGCTCTTCTGGGGAAATTGTCCCTTTGGGTTAAAAAAGAAAAAAAGGACGGTTTGTGGGTTTGTTTATTTCTTGTCCCGCTCCCATTTTTTGGGGGGAGGGACAGAGAAAATTTTGAAATTTACATTTTAATATAACATACATTTTAAAAACTGGCCTGTAATGTTGTTTAAACATTGATAAGCAATGAAAAAGAATCGAAATGATGTTAAATTATTTGTGATTAAGAACTTTGTTCATTAACGAGTCAAACTTTTTGCATATTTTTATACATGTCGTCAATTAGAAATGAGAAGTATTTTCGACATTCTGGCCTTTTCGTCTTCATGGTAGGCGTGAGTAAACCGGATTCTACGGTAAATGGTTCAGGATGCAAATAAATGTCTTTCACCTGAAATATGAAAGCAAAATATACTTGATGCAAATGAAATTAATGCATATAATACTAACTTTCTTTATAAAAAACCGGCATATATAAACCATATAATTAGATATTAGTAATATCCTTAATATTTTACATTTGCAATTAACTAAATATTGAGTTATAAAAGAATGGTTATCTTTTTTCCCTAACATGAAAACAACTAGCAATCATAAAAAATGAAATTATTAATTTAGAAGATAACCCGCCAATATCAAATTTTCTGTTTTAAAAAACTTAATTGCGTCAACAAATGTAACAAAAATTCTTTGTTAAGTTTATAATGCATTTTCTCCCTCTTTTCCGCATGCCTTCGGGGCATAATTGGAAGCACACTCGACGCGTATTTGGGAGGTACAGCTTTAGAATCTGGGACTCCACATGTTCTAATAATTTACCGTTCTTTTACAAATTCTTTTCAGGTACCGACACATGCTTTGGTATAAAACTTCACAGATATATTATTTCATTCCATATAAATTTAAGCATATGCAGATATACTAACCATCTTCAAACTTGTAAAACTCAGATAATTGTTCTTTATAATTGACTTTATATATGTTAAGGTGAAACACCGAAATCTGGGGAATGTCGAATTTCACCGGTGAATTTCAACATTCACATAGTCGCTTGGTGTATGTTCGAAATATTTCCCAAATACTCTTATTTCTGACTTACACCGGTGAATGTTGACATTTACCATGTACTAATGGTGAATGTTGAACATATAAGAATATTATATTTCCTTCTCCGTAATTCATTCGCGAAAAAACGCACTTGAGACTCAGAATAAGAACTTAAGAATATAAGAACTTAAAACACACAGTACATTCAAAAGGAGAAAGGAAAATAATAGAAGTTATAAACTTACCAAATTATGTGATTCAAATCTTATTTATTGCAACAACTTAAACTATTATGACACTTTGAATTGCACAAGAGGCCCTTGCTTTTTACAACTGCATTTATTTGTGGAACACTTCCTTTTGGAATGGCAGCGTGTACATATACTCCTCTCTTTTCAACCTACACCAGAGCATATCTGTGATTGTCGACATACACACCGGTGAGGGTCCGAATGCACAAGAATGTAAAGAAATATTAGAGCTTTCACCGACGTATTTGGTGAATGTTGACATTCTCCGGTGAAAGTCGACATTCTCCAATTTCGGTCTTTCACGGTAACATATATATATATCGTGACAATGTATACATATTGTCATAACTACATTTTCTGTCAATGAGGTTATTTAATAAAGGTTCAAGAATGGAATATTTGTAATTTTCACTTTTTTGAAATTTTGCAGGGTTCTTGTTATTCATAAATCATATTTTATTGTGTAGCCTCTGTTGTTTTACTGTTCTGTTTGGCTATTTTTACAATACTAATTTTAAAGAAATCTTCGCCTTCCTTACTGCATACCTTCGTGGTATAACTGGTAGTACATCCAGCTGACAATCAGAACATCCTGAGTTTGAATTCCATCAAAGGCATAGTTGATATTTCACGTTCCTTGCTCGCTAAAAACCTGAAAGCTCAACAGTTACATTGATTAAAGGATTGCGATTACCTGTTCGAAAGACTTAAGTCCAGCTTCCTTCCCCAGCTTGGTAATATCATCCAGTAAAAATTGTTTTACAGTCTAGAAAAAAAAAATTCAAGTTGAAAAGTACAAGCATTTGTAATGAAATTTAAGAAATAATTGACTGAGATATTAATTGCGCTTTTGCCTACTGATATAAATCTCTAAGATAGCATATCAAATTAAAGGAGGTGAATGAATGAGCAAACATTTGATTTATTAAATTAAAATGTCGAGTTCTATGCACCATAATACACTATACACATATTTACACTATATTTAACCCTTTCTAACTTTCTATGGTTCTTTAAAACGATCTCACTCCACTAAATCTTCTTTTCCGTCCTTCGCTGCTTCCAACGCCTCAAGAAATATCTCTAGTTTTCAAATTTTCGAGAATAAATTAAACTTTCAAGGCATCTTCAAACTCATTTTCTTGGAAAATCGATAGGATATAGGAGTTTCCTCAATGTCACAAGCATACGAAACAGATGACAAAAGCAGTAAAAATTTCGTAGAAACTACAATATATTACTTTCTGCGCTTACATTAATTTTACTTTTGTAGACCTTAGTTGTAGCATTGTCGTGTATGTCTTCACGGAAGTGTGGAAAAACATTTCTAAGTGTTTCGTTTTAATTAAAAACCTTAAGCGTTTGAAAAGTGTATTTTATTTATCTCAAAAACATTGTTACCATTCAAGATGCCTCTGTCGAAGAGTTTATTAACCTTTTATATATGGTCGATGGCTGTCTTGAAATCTAGGTTTAATTTTGCGAATGATTATCACTGGTGATTTCGCAAGGAGAAGAGAGTGCAATATACCACCTAACACCCTCTGGCAGTTTCCCTTATTAAGATACCTTATGTATGAAATCGAAAACTCTTCAAACTATGTTATATACACTCTTTTATCTGCAAAAGATGGTGCTTTCTGCTGTAAATTTACAGATTTCTGAGATTAAAAGCAATCTTTTCGATTTGTATTTAACGAAAAAATGGCCTAAATGATTTTAAGCTAAAATGTGATTCTGTGTTCTACGAAATAAATCGTAAACGTTTCAGAATTTGCTAGAATGATAATAGTCATAAATTGTGACCAAAGAAAAACCACTTCTCTTCGCAATGTGAATAAATGAAATTTTTAATTAGTTTGAACCTCTTATCGAAAAACACTACATTACAAAATGAAAGCGGAAGAGGAACATGTCAAGTGAAATATAAAATTAATAACACAAAAACCTTGAGTTTGACGTCGATTTAAGTCAAGATCGCAATTGATTTTGAGGACAAACAAGTACACGTCTCTCTTTATCAGGAGCAAAGAAATCTGCAAGACTAGAAAGTAGTTGACTTGGAAATGTGTTTAATATACCCAAGTGCCTGGGCCCAGTGCCCTACCCCGAATCGAACGATTAAAAATTTCGAAATAATATACTTAATAATATGTTAAGAAATAAAATATCAAATTTGCATTACTGAATTCTTTTTTAAGATAAACTCTTAGACAAACAAAAACGACGCACCATGAAGTCCGAATGGGACGAAAATCGGTAGAAGTGATGTATATGTACAGAAGAACAAATGATTACAGTTTGAGAACAATTGGATAATTTATTGAAGTGATAGAGCTTCACAAGCTGAAAAAGTCAGTAACGCTTTTGTCCACCTCTGGTCCTTATGCAAGCAGTTATTCGGTTTGGCATCGATTGATAGAGGTTGCGGATGTCCTCCTAAGGAATATCATGCCAAATTCTGTCCAACTGGCGCGTTAGATCGTCAACATCCCGAGCTGGTTGGAGGGCCTTGCCCATAATGCTCCAAACGTGCTCAATAGGAGAGAGATCCGTTGACCTTGCTGGCATAAGGTAATGTTTCGGCAAGCACTAAAGCAAGCAGTAGTAGAACATGTGCAGTGTGGGGGCGAGGCATTATCTTGCTGAAATGTAAAGTTCAGGGTAGCGTGACATGAAGGGCAACAAAACGGGCCTTAAAACTTCGTCGACGTATCGCTGTGCTGTAAGGTTGCGACGGATGACAAGCAAAGAGGTCCTACTATGAAATGAAATGGCACCCCATACCATCACTCCTGGTTGTCGGCCGGTCTGCCGGAAGACAGTCAAGTTGGTATCACACCGCTGTCCGGGGCGTCTCCAGACTCGCTTTCGCTGGTCATCGGAGCTCAGTTCAAAGCGGGACTCATCACTGAAGACTGTTCTACTCCAGTCAGTGACATTCCAGTGTGAATGATCCCGAAACCACTGTAAACGGGCTTGACGTTGTACAGAGGTCAATGGTAGTCGGCGTAAGGGGCGCGATGACCTCAGCCCCCTTTCTGTAGGCCGTCTAAGAATGGTCCTTGCGTAACTGAAGCACTAGTTGCACGTACAATCGATGATAATGATGCACCTGGGGGGCTGCGAGTGCTGCTCTGACGATTGCCCGGTGTTCACGTTCTGTCGTTTGTCTAGGCCTACCGCTTACTTCTTGACGTTGTGTGCGGCCTTCGTTCACCCAAACCTGCCAACATCGTTTAATAGTGACATTGCTCCTTCTCAAATGACGAGCTATTCGCCGATGAGACCAACCGGCTTCTTTGAGCCCAACTGCACGATGTCTCTCAAATTCTGACATCTGCGCATATCGTTCGCGCACCTTTATACGAGGTGTAGTTACTGTCTACCAGAGTACACGGAATGAAATTCGTGAAGAATTTGTGACCTGGAATCGTAATTTCTCCTCTTAAATATTCTGCCAATTGCGCAGATCAGATGCGCTGTAGTGACAACAGTTCATTCACTGGCAGCCAAAATGTAAAATGTTGCATTTTCAGTCGAAACCTGTATGCATATCAATTTGTGTCCAATTTGCTTTATATCTTCTCGGTGCGATTTTTTTTTTGGTCTAAGAGTGTATATTATAAATGTTAATTAATTAGTTGGAGGAGGTTTATCAAAAACTAATTGATCTGGGAATAAAAAGTACGAAGGCGCAATTCAAGCGGTCAGCGTAGTAAAGTTTACACGATTTAAGAATACATACAATAATCTAGCAAAAAATACAAATCGAAGAAGGAAAATTATAAATAAAATGATATTAAATTCTAATATGATTAAGTATGGCCATCAGCCGCATTTTATATTGCTCATCCAGATAATTATAGTTATAGATCCGGAGATCAGAATAACTAAGTTTAACTAAGTTTCCAAAAATCGGGACTTTTTTAAAACGTCGTGGGACAAATTGTTGAAAATTGGGACGTCTGGTCACCTTAAGCTAGTAGCAACGTGACGATCCATGATCCATCCGTGACTGCTAGTTGATATAATGGCGTTAGACACAAGGGTGCTTGCGCACAGTGTGTTACTCCTTCTAAAACCATTCTCTGAAAGTTACTAAGTAAATTCAAAAAAATAACTTGGAAAATTATAATAATAATAACACTTATTATTATTATTTAAATAATTAATTATTAAAGTCAGAATTATAGGATAATGTCCATTGCTTTCCAGTCTTGTAGATTTCTTTGCTCCTGATGAACAAGGATCTCTACCTGTTTGCCCTGGAAATCGAATGAAATCTTGACTCAAATCTACGCCAAATTCAAGTTTGTTGTGTAACTAATTTATACTACATTACAACATGGAAAAAAATTTCAAAAGGACCGTTGTAGTAATATATAATTTACATGGCCAAAGATGGCTAACTGTGAGTCCTTTTCTCTGGTTGTGTAACTAAGAAGTAAGATGAACTCATCAACAGAGACCTCAAAGTTCCTTTATCCAAATGAAGTACCACTCACGCTAAAGAAGCATTGTTGATAGAGGGTGGTCGTTAAAAAAACGTTCCCCATCATATGAATCCGCTCAACCACTCAATGATGCGGCTGTTATTTGAAGGTATGCGTTCGAGATTGTGAAGGTTTAAAACTCTACAGCTCTCACGGTTTCTGTTATAGTAAAAAAATTTCGAAAATTTTAAATGGCAATACGACATTTTTTTTCACTGCGCAAATTCATCAGAACATTGAAAAAACATAAATGCCATTAGAACGATACACGCATGACGAACATTGCCGGGGTAAAATATTTATCTATAACGTGCAGTTATAGAGATTCCTCCTGCGATGTTATGTTTCCCATTGTCGTCAACACTCTCCCGCATAAAATGTATTATCGTCTGTAATCGCGGGCACGCTGAAAACTTGTAATTCCAATAAAGGGATTTTCCCCCTCTTCTCTCTTGTACTGCCATTGGTCCTTTACAATGTCCCTCCCCCCAAAAAAATAGATTGAGAGAGAAATTTGAAAGGATTACATAAAAGAGGATTTGCTAAGGGTTTTTTTATGCTCTCGGCTCAATACCGCAGGTTACTAATCTTCTCTTGAACTCAAAACTTCTAAAACATTTTTTTTTATAATTAAACATTGCTTCTTTCGCTCTTAAATCATGGCAAAATCACAAAATTTTTTAAAGCAGCTTCGTAGCATATGTTTAATATTCCAGATACTGTGTTTAATTCAAACCTCTTTCAGATACTGTGTTTAATTCAAATCTTTCTGTTTTTTTTTTCAGTCTTTCCTGAGTTTATCATATGTTTTCTGTTTACTCTCTAGTTTACTAGCGTCAACCGCCTAAAAGAAAATCTTAAAGCTTTCAGATTTTATATTACGCCCAAAGGGGCATTTATTCCCATTTAAATACACATTTTAAGAACATTTGAGCTAATGTTTCTTCGGACTAAAAATACTTAATAACAGCCTATCTTTAGAATTTCTGATACAGAGTCTCACGCGCTGGAGATAATTTTGTTTTTCGTACAGTGTTGCCACTGTTCAATTTGAAATCATTGAGTTTGTTAATCAAAAATTCGTTAAGATAACGATGGTTAAGTCCACAAGAGCGTATGGAGTTTACTACTGATACAACTGGTTTAATAACAAACACACGAGAATCTGAGATGTTTCCGAGGAAGAATTTGCTGGTGAATAATACACTGGGTTACCAGAGGTTTAAATATCTAGTTTTTTCTAAAAATTTCGAATAGTTTTTATCAGTAATATCTATCATCTCAGCCAACGAAAACTATTTTAATTTTTTTGTCTTGTCTTCTAACTGATTCTTGATGTGGCCCTCTCAAGTCTTTTAACAGTTGTTCTCGCCGGAAGAATGGCAGGTCGTAACATATCTATTTTCCTGGGCACATTGTTTTGGCTGCCACAAGCAAACATGATTTAATTAACTCACCATCGGTAAACGGTTTTCGTTTTATGGCTAATAAATGAGCTATTTGTAAGCTGACTATAGTTACTGCTTCATTACCATTTTTTTATTTTTACGAATAAATTGCGTTGTGTTGACATTTCTCTTTAAAACTTTCCAATTTTAATGATCGTTCGTTTTAAGAGGTTTGAATACCGTGTCGAGTGTTTAGCTTGGTAATGACGACATATATTGTGCTCTTTTCGCGCAGCTATTATGTCATTCCAAATTAAACATAAAATTTCGCAGTTTAATCCTGTGACAAAATTGGCCCTCCATTCTGCTTTAAAAACACGACAAGTAAATATTCTGCTTTAAACATGACAAGTTTCATGTAAAAAAACAATACCACCTCGCAGGTCGGATTAAAAAGAAAACGACGGTCAGACGAAGATTTGATTCATCATCATAAAAAGGCGGAAAGATGCTAAAATATTTAATTACCTTATTTTCAAGGCCTACCTTTCTCTTCTTATTTGATTTTGAGATCGACATGGTAACGGTAGGTAACTGAATAAAAAGAAATAAAAAAATAAAATCTCGCCGAATACCCTGACAGACGATACATGCGCAGCGCATATCAAAACTGTCAGCAAGCTGGCGCGGCGCACGATCCACAAACATTCACCTTTTTTAAGTGCTTTTAAAAAACACGGCAGACGATAGAATACAACAGTAGCGGCACTCGCGGTCATTATTCACAGCTTTTCAACTCAATTATCGGCCATGACATGGTAAAACGTAGTTCGATTTATTTTTCATGTAAAAAACAATACCACCCCGCAAGTCGGATTAAAAGAATGCGACGGTCAGAGGAAGATTTAATTCATCATCATAAAAACGCGGAAAGAAGCTAAAATATTTAATTACCTTATTCTCACAGATTTTCTTCCAGGTGCCTTTTATTGAATTGTTCTTACACCATTCTGTTAGAACGTCCTGATCTGGAACTGCTATAGCAACTAATGAGGCCTAAAATAAAAAATAAAAAAAGATTAAGCATCTTTTAATATGTAAAATTAACTTTAAAATAATTTTATAGATAAAAACTCAATTATTAAATAATGCAGTATGACAATAAAAATTATTATTTGGGCGATTTAACTTACAATATATTATAGCTTTTGAATATTTGAAATATAAAAAATAAGCACTGAATTATAGGAAAAAGCAGGGAATACAAATCATGATTTACCTGAAAAATGTAAAGCTGTAAGAATTTATTATTTTATTGTCATTAATACCCATTAATACCCATTTTCCTTCCCAATTTTTTATTCACTTCTAGAAACATGGGAATGTAAGAATAAAATATAAATATTCTTTCAGAAGACTCGAAATTAGGATTGATAAAAATCATGAGTATTTTATTTTAGATGTTGGCACTGAGGATTTGAAGCAAATTAGCTTTACTTAGCTTAAAAGTAAAAGCCTTATTAGTTTTTTTCTTCGATTGTAGATAGCAGGAGTGAATTTTGTATATTAAAAAACTTAATTATTAAACTGAATTCTAGTTTGTAGGTATTAGCTTCTTTATTATTTAAGTTTGTATATTAATGCTGTGTTGATACATTTTAGCTTTGTTTATTTATTAAAACATGCCCGGTTATTTAGGGTTCTATTTAGAATAGAATTGTACAGCTATTCCGTTGCTTTGAATTAACAAAGAGTCAAACTAACGGTGGAGATTGTCAGACGACTTACTGTGCTATCTGCGTTCTAACTAAAAGTATCACTCAAAGTAAAATGTTAAAACAATGAATAACTTGTGAATTTACTCCAACAGGGCGATTAAATATATTCAAAGTTTTAACAGAAACAGAACTTTACCAGCTTGAGGGGAATCATAACACAGGTTCATATGAAATTGAATGCAAAATACCAAAGCAACACGTCCTACTAAACTTTGACTCATCTCTAAGGTTCACTAAATTCCAATAGCGAATAGCAGTAGCATAAGCCAATAATTTAAATGCAATAGCTGGGATGCTAAGTAGATTTTCAGTCAGCTTATTCTGCCAGGGTACTTTTAAAGTTAAGTTCTGGATCACTGGAGTTTAGCACAAATGATCCTCTGGGATCATTTGTGCTAAACTGCGTTATAGTGAGAACTGTCGAATATGGGAATAAAAGCAGAACCCAAATGATAAGGTAGCATGTTTAACAAATATAAAATAGCACAAAATGGATGTATGAGACGATAATTCACCGAAAAGAAAAAAATTAAGAAGAACAGATAATTTCTCGACATTGAGGCAGATCTAAATGTGTTATTGCCAAATAAATCATTAAAAATACACTATGCATAAATAGCTTTGAAATACTCCTAAGAGAGAATAATTTAAACAACTTGTCAACTAAGTTCCGGAGGGAGGTTGGTCAGTTACAGTTTTGCTTAAATTATTATTATTTAGCAAATTAACTAAAGCGCCAAAATATTAGGTACCGTTATAAGTTTCTGGCTACTCTTCATAACATGGAAACGGTTGCAGTTAGGGACAGATCTATGGAGTAAAATGTCTTGGCATTTGTACCTGAGCATAGATTTGATACATATGGCTTTCTGCATGATTGTTGATCATACGATAAGCATGTTGCAAATGTCAGAATAAATAGGGCTGTTTAATGCGGCGAATGATAGCAAGTCTTTCATGAACAGCAATAAGATGAATATATAAGGGAGCAGGCTTGTGCTAAAATAACAATACATAAAGAAATAAAATAATTATAAAAAGAGAAAAAAAGCTATTATATACAGTTGGTACACAAACGAGATAACTTGAATTTGAGAAGACTAGTAATCACTTAAAGGCCTCCCAGAGTAAGTTGTTGGGGAAGCCTACTACGGTTCCGAAGGCCCCGGTTTCGAATCCTGGAGAAGGCATGGTTTTAATTATCCGTCCCTTCATAGGAGGTAATGGTGGCCCATCTATTAGGAGCTTCCATAATGAAGTGGCCACCACTTCCGGCCTTAGTAGTGGCCAAGACTAAGTCAGCTAGTTGACCTCTAATGGAAAAAAAAAATTCTGAAAGAGGAAAACTGTTGCGTTAAATCATATTCTGCTTCAGTTCTGGTGACTCTCAGGATATTACTTAACGCACTACGAAATGTGGATTTTATTGAATTAAGGATGGTTATCATTAACTATTGCTGATGCTATTTTTATCGTCACGACATTATATTCGTCACCTTACCTGTCAGAGATATCAGAAGGTTTTAGGAGAGACCTTGAAAGTGCTCTTGCCAAGAATCGACGAGTTTAAATTGTAGGCCATTAGTATGGTGACCGCTACACTATAATAACAAGAAAAATAGCTTAAACCCGCTCCCCTACCTACTCTCCGGCAATCAAATCCTGGTGTGATTATACTGCTACTCTTATGCTGATATACGAACAGTTGTATTCTAAAGAAGCCACAAGAGCAATGTATTCAAATTCCTTTCGCCTGTACCCAAAATATGTCGTTGTTGTAAATCAGGATGACTGGCACTACTACACCAACGCGGAAGAATCACATTATCAACTGTTTCTTCCAGCAAAACATGTGTGGATGAGATGACAGAACAAAAATTTAAAATAATTAAGTTAAGGGAATAGCATTATATTGGATAAAGAATTAGTAGTTTTGTCCTTATATGAGGTGCATTCTGTTGGTCCAATATAGGGCAAATATCGCATACTTAATTTCCGTTAAAACCAGTTACTTACACAAATACCATTAAAAACAATTCTAATCATTTCATAAACACCCCAATCTTGCATTACTGGTTTTTTAGTAATAGAATTGTATTCTCTACATCCGTAATAGATGATGAAGAATGAGCTGCTTGCAGATTTTATTGACTTTTTGCATTCAAATGATCAAACTGCTTTCCAGCTTTAAATAATATTATACACTTCCGAGACGATATGCCGACTCCGTTTGATGAACGAAACGGTTTCCAACAAACTAAGTTGTAATGTGGACTCTTATAGAATCCCAACATGAGCAGTTGGTACACTCTTGCAATAATATTTCTTTGACTCAGTGTTGTACAGAGTACACGCTGTAATTTGGGAGCATTCAAGAACCTCATGTAACTACTAAGCCGTGCCTGATGTTTTAGCTCTTCAGTATGTAATAATAAATGAGTAACTATGGTTGAACTTATCATCACAACACTTTAAGAGATAATGAACGATTAGTAACAATAATAATATGCAATTAATGAGTAAATTTAAATGAAACATCTGTGTAAAATTTACCTGCAAACTTTCACCATGAACAAATATCTGTGTAATGAATTGCGATGATAAGTAGATGCTTTCTATTTTCTCTGGGACGATGTACTCTCCTTGAGCAAGCTTGAAAATATTCTTCTTCCTGTCGATTATTTTCAAAGTTCCGTTCTTAAAACATGAAAGAAAGAATTTTTCTCTGAGTACATTTTCAACACATAATGATATATTACATGAATTTATTAATAAAAGTAAAATATAACAAGGCCGTTTTGATCAAATATCATTGAAATGATACAATATTGATCCATTTTACAAAAAAAAAAAAAAAAAAAAAAAAAAAAAAAAAAAAAAAAAAACTCAAATGTTTCAAATTTTAAATTGCGTGCAAAGGAGCGTTTTTTTAAAATTGTTACCTTTATTTCTTAAATATCATGTTCTTCGTCCTTAAACGATAAAATTTTCAAGAGCAATATCGCAAAATAATTTTAAAATGAGCATATCCGATATAAATTTCCGATACACAGTCTCGCGCGCTGGTGATAAAAACTTTTTTTTTTCTGTTTCTATTTATGTTTTTTTATGCCATTATGTTTTTATGTCGCCACTGCTCGCTTTGAAAGCCTTGCTTTCTATTCAAAAATTAGTTAAAGTTTTACAAATTATGAAATCGACAATAAAACAAATCTCAAATTTTAAATTTGGGCTTCCAGATGTCCCTATTCGCAGGCGGATTCTGTTATTTAAAATTTGATGGCTCTAGGTACCGTTGTTTTACCACAATGCGAGAAATATGCATACATTTATGCAGCTTCTTCATTATTTAATTTCTTTAAATATAATACAGGGCGATAATATTTGGTGGCAACAATTTGAAAAGTGAAACAACGCTTGTAGTGAATCAACGCAAAATGCCAAAATGATATTAATAATCCTTCTTGGCAAATTGCCCCTTCGGACTAATTATAGTAATAAATGTGTCCATTTTAATTCTTTTTCTCCAATCTAATACATAAAAAAAGTCTTTTTGGTGTGTTTTATTAATATAAAAACTGATACCTGAAGCATTTAAAAAAAATATGACAAATTGTAGTGATTATTTTAATTTTCTAATACGTACCTATTTTTTTAAACCCTTTCCTTCAAAGTAGAAGCCGAATATAATAAGCAGTATCTACATTTTCAACAAGAGCGATGAAGTAATTCATTATTTCTGAGGGTGTCCGCCGAAAACACCGCGGACGAAAACGTCGCGGAGAAAAACAAAGCAAAGTGAAAACGTCGTGGCACAAAACATCGTGGGAGAAAATAAAGCAAAGAGAAAACTTTTATATCTTATATTTTTAAACATCGTGGTACAAAATATCGTCGTCGAAAATAAAGCGGTTCATAAACTTCGCAGTTTAAAAACATCGTCGTCGAAAATATAGTGGTAAAAAATAAAGTATCCACAAATCATCGCATGACGACAACATCGCAGACATGCTTTTTTTCAGGCTTTATTAATTGTAAATGGTTATTTCCATAATGATTTGTGAGCGCGATATGGAAAGAAGGATAATTTTTACTTTCATATTTTTTATTAACTAATAAATTTTTGCTGAAAAAGTAAGAAGGAAACTTAAGCATAGAAAATTAAGGCAACTTATAGCATTTAATTTTAAACTGACATAGTTAACTCACAAAGGTCATTTACAAACCATTTTTATAAAGGTTTTACTGGTAATTTTTCATAAAAAGTATAATGTAAAAAGGATTAGAAAAAGGAAGCTAAGTAACTGCATGACCTTATCTATAAAAAATTGCTAAGTTAATTATGAGATTATTTTCTTCACTTTTGTCAATCTAATACTCTTTATAGTGAAAACTATTTATTTTTCTGCTTCAGTTTATTCTTATGTTTCCTTTTTACTTTTTCAGCAAAAACTTATTACTTAATAAAAATATGAAAGTAAAAATTATCTTTCTTTCCATCTCGCGCTCACAAATCGTTATGGGAATATCCATTTGCAATTATTAAATGTCTGTGATGTTATCGTCCAGCGATGATTTGTCGATACTTTATTTTTTACCGCGATATTTTCGACGACGATGTTTTTAAACGGCGAAGTTTATGAACCGCTTTATTTTCGACGGCGATATTTTGTACCAAGATGTTTTCTCTTTGCGATGTTTTCTCCCACGATGTTTTGCGGCACGATGTTTTCGCCTTGCGTTGTTTTCTCCGCGATGCTATCGGCAAAACCCTTATATTTATAGTAATAAGAAGTAAGAAGTACTATAGTAGTAAGTAGTAAGAAGACCACTAGTTAGTCAGAAACACATAATTTAACTAGAACATTATAAAGTAAATACGCAAAGCGCATGAAACTTTATTATTCTCAAATAAATTCATTATTTTTCACTCGTATTTAAAACTCTTATGGTGTCCGCCCGTGTTTGTCATGCAAACCGTCATCGAATTTTATATCATATGAAGTTTTTCTGCGTGTACGCTGGGAAGGTTTGAGAAATATCATCTTTGTGTATCCATTTTTCTTTAATCTGGGAATCTTCTCAACTGTATCAGTGGTGCTGTGGCTCTAGTCGATCATAATATAGTGAAATATATCTACCATATAAGCAAAGATTGACAAACTGCGCATTTATATAATATGTAAAATAAAAACTTAACAAAATTTACGTTGAATTTAATGTAATGAAATTTGTCATCGGTTGCGCAATTGATTTGTTACGAACTTTAAAAGTGCTTTCACAAAATTGTAAGTAAGACCGTTTTATAATAAATTTGCTGCTGGAAAGCAAATTAATAATAAAGTCAATAAATATGATTCCAGACAAGTCGGGTTGATTTACATTTTTCGTAACAACATACAGGTTTAATAGCAATACATTTTTTAAGCAATATAATTCGTTTGCGATGGACATCCTCTTGGTTTATTTATAGGCAAATGATATATACAGAATGGCAATGATAACATGCATTAAAACCGATATGTGATTTTAACTTATTTACCTACACCGAGTTTCGAAAGGATAGCAAGCACTAATAGTGTTACATACCGGCAACCACATTCCTATATCTCCTGTATGAAGCCATCCATTTTCGTCTAACGCTTCTGAAGTTTTCTCAGGATTTTTAAAATATCCTTGAAATAAGCTAGGACCTCGAATGCATATCTAGGCGAAAATAAAATACCAATTTGAGTCCGTAAAACAACGACATGTGATAACAAACAAGCACTGAACATAGCATTTAATATATTATATTTACCTCCCCTTGATTGTTATTTGAAAAATATCCCATTTCCGCTACATCAAGAAGCCCATTTTACTTCGTTAACGCTTCTGACCCGTACTTCTATCGGATTGTTTGTTTTTAAAAGTATACCTTGAAGACTAAGCTAGGATGCCGCGTTCTCGACCGCCTAGCTAGGCACGCACCAGGAACCCATCCACCCTCAGAATGACCAACTGAGTCGTAAAACCAGCAATCGCTCCATGTGATACACTAAAACAGCAATCTTCTCTTGAAAGATCATAGCATTTAGATGCGATTCCTAGATAGATTTATGTCTCCCCTTGATTGTCGAGTTTGAAAATGAAAAAGATCCCATTTCGAGTCTAATCAAAGAAGGCTTAATTCAGAAACAACGGGTGGGTGCAGGTGTCGTGCCGGGTGCCAAACGGTTTTCTGAACATATGTCTTGACACCAATATGCATGCAGAGCGATTTTTTTTTTATATTATAAAAAGGGGGTATAATATTAAATCATGTAATAATAAGAATAACAATAAAACGATATAATCTAGCTTAAATGCAGGCATTTTAATAAAGAAAGTAGCCCAGAAACAACCTTCAACAGTTAAATGAGATCAACTTGTGTCATATTTGTAGATGTGTTCACACACATAACAGAAGGCTAGATAGTACACCCATAATATTAAGGGAACCATCGAACAAGACAAAATATTTCCTCCTCTAAAAGAAATCGTTAAAAGCGTTGTGGCGATACAGGGTCTAAGTACGAAATTTTGAGAGTGTAATAAAAAAAAATATGAAATAGTAAAACACACTTGCTTGAATCTTATATATGGGTAACTACCAAGGCCTTCTGTGAAGTCGTTTTGGTCGTAGACGCATAGGACCGGAATCCTGTTTTTATGCTACATATTGAGGAAAATTATTTTGAATTACATCCGCTATTATGCAGAGGGTTAACTATTCTGGAGAAGACGATGGTTTATTTGTAGAGACGAAGGTAGGCAAGGATGCACAGAGAGAGGCAGGGTGTAATATCCAGCTGGAATGGAGAGGTAGGTCAGCAGAATAATAAACGGACCAAGGGATTTTGATGGGTGGTGGGGAAGATCGGCGAAAGACCTTTGCTTGCACGTTCTCGCAGGCTCTGTGCCAGACCGGTGTAGTTAGATTTCAACTGATAAAACTTTGGCGGAGCAACTTTCTTTTTGCCAATGCTTCGCTGCGTGGGTGTGAGCCGGTTGTTTTATTGTTGTTCTTTCCTTTTTTACCCGAGACAATTGTCCACGTGATTCACAGTTAAATATAATTAATGGTGGATGGTTTTCTGGCATGATTATGTACTACTTCTTCTGATTCATGGAATAGAAATATTCGATTCTAGAATGTATTTGACCTGGTTGGTGGAGTTGGAGTCGTGTTACTAGTTTGCCTGGATTTCGCTGTTTGTTTTTTTGACGGTGTGTTGTTGGGATGGCGCACGTTTGGATCTGCGTTTTGTTGTTAGTTTTTGTTTTTTTCGGACAGTTTTAAGTTTTAAAGTACGATCGCAAACAAAACGTTTTTTGTATTCCTTGCTACTCCAAGAGTAATGGTATAGGGGGATGGGTGGCCAGGGGGGCGAGGGGGGGTCAGGCGGAAAGCGGGAAGGGAAAAGCAGTGCGCCAGCTCACTCTGGATAGATAGCGATACGATGCCGATTCCTTGCGACGCGTAACAAACTAAATATCTCCCCAGTCGTGAAACGGATATACTCGGTCGCGTTTCGAATCTGGCCCCCTGTCCACTGCGTTTTTTTTGAAACAGGTTATGATATGAAACGCTGTTGAAAATGCGTTCGTTAAAGAGTTAAGGGTGACTATTATATATGCGAATCTGGTAATTGAGGCTTCTTGATGGGGGAATGGGGAGGGGCGAAGGACGGGCTCGGAGGAAGAATATATAAATTGGCATTACATGGTTGCGCTATGCTGTGCTCTCCTAAAAATGATGCTGTGTGAATTTTATGAGCAAGCTCGAAATCTATGACGTGATAACAATGATAAGAAAACCATTTTTTTATTATTTGCACTTCAAGGTTCTAACCATTAATAGTAAAAGTCAAATGTGTTGGCTTCAAGTTTGACTTCTATTACTTAGTTTCTTTGAATGTTGAAAAATTGAATTGATTTTGAGGGTTTGATTTTTTGCCAATATTGACAATTATTGTTGCTGGTACGTATCGGGTTCGTTATGAAATATGAAGCACAAGTCCGAATGAAAAAACGAATGGAACAGAAATTAGTTATTATCACAATTGAAAATGATTTTAAAATGCATTCTCAAACTATCATTGCCGCCCAAGTTGAAAGATATATTTATTACAATATTCGTCACATGCTAGTGTGTTAGTGCGTAAGAGATGAGATGGGGAGGGGAGGCGGATGGTGAGGTGGGAAGCGGGGGTGTAACTACGCCCCCCAATAATGGCTACATAGAACAGTAATTCAAAACATCGCTAAAAGCAAAAGAAGCATACTCCGGCTAGCTAACTGTGCGCTAGAGACAAACAACAGCAGAAGGATGTGGCTAAAAACAAACAGCAAAAGCAAAGAGAGACAACCACTGAAACTGACGAATGTTGTATCCTCACTGTTATAGAGGAAAGGAACGAAAAGCAAAGGAGCACCATGAAACATTTTTTTTAGATAAAATTTTTCATTTGTAGTAAATTCTAAAATCAAAGAGCTATAGAACTTAGAAAATTTCCAAGTACATTTTCCCGCAAAATTCAGAAAAAGACATCAGGGCGAATTGTGTCACAAAGAGGTCATGATCCTGGAGGGAGGATCAGCAGGAAGATAAAAATCTGAAAAGAGGACAGGAGGAAAAGAATAAAGAAAATAAAGAACCGAAAGAAAGAAAAAACAAGACAATAACAATTGAAACATATTAACCCTAAATCATTAAAAAAGCACAAAAACAAAACAAGACTGAGAAATCATTTCAAGAAGTATCTTAATAAACGAAATAACCACAAACAGCGAAGCACATCAACTATAAAATAATACAAGAAAAGAAGATAACACACAAAAAATCAAAAACAAAAAAAACTAAAGCACTGAAAGGCAGACTTTGAAAGACTAAGATATCAAAGAATTGGCAGGGAGATAAAACAATGAATAAGAGGCTACTTTATTTAGGGTTGACCTCCGCGCTGATGTGTTAGTATTTCAATTTCCGGCTTTAGCTTCTTTTAACATTCGGCACGCGCTGCATGCGGCGCGGAAAGCATAAGAGAAGAAAATAAATTTAGTAAAATAAATATAATTAAATAAAAAAAAAAATTAAATAATAAATAAAATAAGAAAAAAATAATTGGTATATTGCTAGAAACCATTCACACTTCATCATATTAATTGACGAACATTAGCTTTATAAATACCCAAATGTACGTAACATGCTGCCCCTTCCCAGGACTGCACGAAGAGCTGTCCCTCGAGCCACTAGGGGGCAGATAAAATCCCCGGACAGGGAAGTACTAAAGAGCCTCTCCCTTAATTTAAATCACCTTATATAAGATGAAAAAGGCTCGAGAACAGACTTACAAAAACTGTTTCGGCAGATAAAATCCATTAACTAAAGCCGCATTACATCTACAAGGCCTTTTACGATACACACAACAAGGATGAACAATAATTAGCAATAACTACAAGCAATCCAAAAACATACTAAATGCCCGCCAGAATCACAAAGTCCAAAATACCACATTTAAAAACCAAAAAAGTAAAAGGACCACCCTTATGGTGCTCTGGATAACATTTACCAATTTATTTACATTTACGTACGACACTGGTGACATTCCCCATGAGCTAACCTGTCTTAATGACCGACTTTAGGTAGGTTTTTTAGAATTTCGAGAACGACTTATCGGATACGGACCGTCATTTACAGTCTGTCCGCACTGTACATGGGACCAGCTCTAGAGGTGATGTTAGCTGTACCCCGTCTTTAGGAAACCATGCAAGGTCCTATTTCGTTGGGCATATCGAGTTCATCAACAACTCTCACGCTGTCTCCTTTGGTGGTTGGATCTAGATGCAGTGGTAGGCTAGGGTGGGAGTGGGGGAAGTCCGGGTACGGGGGGCTGCACTTTCGTCCGCCGCCAGTAAACTAACGAATTTGCGTACGAAAAGCGGGACTTGGGACTCATGTCGGGCCTGGTAAAGAGCGGGTGGAGCAACACAATTTCTAAAGTAAAACTACTTCGGAGCACACCCACAACTTTTCGAGGAAAACAGTAGCTGCACTGAACTTACTACCTAACGAGTCGTGGTTGTTGTTACCGCTGTTCAAGGCCGATTTGACCAACTGTAAAGGAGGTGATAACGCTATAGGCTGCGGCATCGCTACGGTCGTTATATTAAAACCAGTTAACATATTAGATTTGGCTTTAGTGTTCACATCAAGCATGCCCACACAATATGCGCGACGTAAAGGTGTCATCCGACAGCCCGAACCGAGAACAGAGAATTCGGGATGGACTTTGGAGCAGAAAGAGCTGGTAGTGGATTAGTCTCTCTCTGCGTTCTGCTAGTTTATTTTCGACCTAGGTAATGATTTTTCGCGACAAGCTTACGGACGCCAAGATGGACTCGATTCTCTCGCGGACATGATTCATGCAAACAACAATGAAAGAGAGAGTTGGGTAAAAGTGCTCATTCTCTCTGCGACCACTTCCACGGCGGATCGTTAGTTGACTCCCTTTTTTGAGGAGGGATTAGTTACATGCCGTGCCCATCGATGTGTGAAAGCACAGCCTTATTGTTTTTGACAATCTGTACAGGAGAAAACAAAATCCTTGATATTTCCTTTAAAAGTCGCCAAATCCAGAGTATGATCTGGAAAGGTATTCTGTGTATTCTCGCGCCCAAAATATGCCGTGTGCTGGTACAGGCTTGGACTTCAACAATATAATGTGGATGTTTTTACTGTTAATTCCCAGTTATGTCTATCTTGTCACCAGACGCAGTGCGAAGGGTTTTGGACAGTCAGAGTCCGAATTAAAGGGACGGTAACACAGGATGGC